TGTAATATTGAAAATGAAATGGAAATAAAATAACAGAAATATCGCAATTTTAATAAAACATATAGGTATAGATTTATTATTTAAAAATCTAAAGATTGTTTTATTTACACAGTTTTCGTTAATTGTTTTACTCCCCACAACTCTTTAGAACAGCATCTCTGAAGTCAAGCCCTAGGAACGCCTACAACAACTCGTTAAACGATGCTATTTGATTTTGACTGGGCAGCATTAGATTGTTTAAATCTACAGTTATCAATTCTCTTTGTTCATCATTTGCCTATTCAACTCTATATACAGGCGACCATATAACATTATTTATTTTTTTATATTAACTCTAACCTACCTTTTATGCCAACATTTTATATTTCGGTTTATTGCCGGATGTTACGATATCATGGACATCGTTTTCGGCCTTATCTAACATAGCATTTCTTTTCACTCTTCTTTAGATAATCAAATGTAGCATCTCATATTTCAGACTTAGCATGATATGACCTAAATTTTATATTTACTTCTTTTTTACAACTCACATAATCTGATAATGATATTTTTAAGAATTTGCCAAAAACTCAATAATTCAACGACTGGAGTTTATTGATATATAAATAACATATAAGCCGAGTATACTGTTTACAGAACAGCTAAAAATGATGTATATAATTCGCAAACATATAGAAAGGTTTTAACATAAAGTTAATCATATTTGCATTCCTAAAAGCATATTTTTGAAAACTATTATTTTTATCCAAATACTGAAAAGAAACATAGCAACATAGGAACATACACAGGTATGTACTTCGGAACTTCAAGGTATTACTGCAGGATAGATAAGCGGCTTCAACATACTGTCATTGGTACTATTTATTGAAAATTCTTTTTTAATGATTATAACATTTAAGATTTATTTTTTTATTAACTGGACAGTATCAGTGTGAAACATTAACTAAAACTCTCATGAATAAATTAGAAAAAGACTTCAGTCTTTGCGTAAAAGGCCAACGACTAAAAGTGCATTCCAATAATCAAGAGCTCGGAAAGAGCTCGGAAAAGTTTAGTAGGAAAATCTGCATGAAGTAGATTGGGGCAGCGATTAATATCCTACTAAAAACAATAGACGTTTATCTAGTCTTTAGACGATAGCTGCAAAATAGAAGACAGGATTGAGAAGATTGTTGTTATTAGATTTGAGTTATAAAGGACTTTTCTCTCAAACCTACCGTTTACGAGGCTCTGGTATTTAGTAATATCCTACTAAAAACAATAGACGTTTATCTAGTCTTTAGACGATAGCTGCAAAATAGAAGACAGGATTGAGAAGATTGTTGTTATTAGATTTGAGTTATAAAGGACTTTTCTCTCAAACCTACCGTTTACGAGGCTCTGGTATTTAGTAATATCCTACTAAAAACAATAGACGTTTATCTAGTCTTCAGACGATAGCTGCAAAATAGAAGACATGATTGAGAAGATTGTTGTTATTAGATTTGAGTTATAAAGGACTTTTCTCTCAAAACTACCGTTTACGAGAGTCTGGTGCTTAGTAATATCCTACTTAAAACAACATACGTTTATCTAGTCTTTAGACGATAGCTGCAAAATAGAAGACATGATTGAGAGGATTGTTGTTATTAGATTTGAGTTATAAAGGACTTTTCTCTCAAACCTACCCTTTACGAGGGTCTGGTATTTCATATAAGATGTTTTTATATTTGTATGCATATTCTTTAATACATGCATATGTGTATTTTAAACTCATATGTAACTTTATTTGTTTAAAAAATCAAAATTGGCTTACAGATTTTTATCACATATTAAATATTTACTTTCAGAATTTATGACTAAATTTAATTAAGTTCTTCTTGTTAAAAACTTAATTTTTTTTTAAATTTAAAAAACTTTTAAAAATCGAAATTGATTTATATAATAAAAGTCAAAGCGAAGCACAGCAAGAGAAATGCTCGTATTACAAATTTTAATAATTAATAAGGAGAAAAACCAATAAAACTGTCCAAATATTTTATGAAAACCCAATATTTATGTGGTTTAAATAGAATCGTTAACGAAAACATGTGACAAATATCGATTTCTTTGGCGGACACCTTTTGAACTTCAGAGACACCAAAATCAATAAAAGGGCAATTGCAAGAAGTTTTATGTTCACACCAAGAGTTGAGTTTAAGTATGGATTCGTGTATGGCAACACTGCCATACACGCTTAACGATGTGTAATTCTACCAGAGTAAATAGAGACCAAAGAACAATGGAATGCGAAAATTAGTTCAAATTCACTGGCTCAATAAAAATCTAACATTTTTGGTTTTGGAACACAAAGGCTCTCTCTATAAGAAAGTTACTGCCTGCTGTGATAGATTTTTTGAATTTTTTGTTTTTTAAAAAAGTTGAGATTTTTTGGTTAATTTAAATGAGCTCGTAAAATCATTTTTATTGTTTCTTTTGTTCAAAAATATTTGTTCCTTTTTCTGGAGTTGGGTTACTTCGCAAACATATATTGATTGTATCGCCTTACAAACAACGAAACTGACAGAAAACATATTCAATTTGGCGAAATGTTTTTATTATCATTGAAAAGTCGTTAAATATTTTGTTAAGTAATAAAATGCTTGTTCACGCCTTCTGCAAAGGAAATGCATAACACCAATATTGGTTTTTGTGGTACTTGAATGGAATTGGTTTGGATGTTAAGGAGAAGACCAGCCTGTGTGCAATAAGCAAATATCCTGCGGCATTTTGTTGCATGTAATTCATTGAAATTCGTAGCAACTCATAATTAATTCGATATTCTTACTTCACTTTTGTCGAAAGTAATAAAGACATTTCAATTAGTGTTATATAGAAATATAAAGACCGGTATTGGCCAGAGATTAAATGCTTTTATTTGGAAATATATTGCAGTCGCTTAGTGACTACCAGAACTTACAAAAAAAAAGTCTATATTGAATTTTTTAAAAAAATATTACTTTTTAGTCAATATTTTTGTCTTATGAGTTTTAGGATTATTTCAAGCACAGTGGTTACTACTATAAAACTTTAGGTTATATATTTATAAATTTATTTACTCTTTTGAAACATTTTGTTATGGATATAATTATATATATTACTTTCCATATTGATTCCGAAACTTTCTGTAATCAGTCCAGTTCAATTATATAGTATTAATATTATTCTATATAATATTAATAATAATAATATTCAATAATCATGTGGTAATTAGTAATAATCAGATAATAACACAAAAAAATCAGGTCTTGATAAATCGCATCTTGGTGGTCATTTTATATCACCAAAACGCGCTTTTACACTTCAAAAAATGTATCGACCAACAAGAACAAAACAAGCATAATACTCTCTATTATGGTTGTGACATTGCACTGTTGAAACTACTTATTTTCCACGTCCAAATTTATGCCATATAAAAAAAAGTAATCATGTGCTTGTATCTATCAAAATTTACGGTTTCTAATAGTCGTATTCCACTTCCAGACCAAATTCCAAAACATACCTTGACTTTTCGTGGAGGCAATGATCATAGATAGATTTTTATTGTCCAAGATGCGACGATTGTGTTTGTTGATATATCCTAAAAGGAAAAAATAAGTCTCATCTCTGTATTCGATGCATAATGTACTTATTACAGAATAAATTTACCAGTTCCTGCAGCTGTAATACGTTTAAACAATCCATATTTTAAACCTTTAAACCTTAAATAAAATATATGATGCCTTAGAAGATAGCTCTGTATGACATATATCGCTTAAACAGTGCTGCCAATTCAGAACGATGAAATAGATGTTCTCAATATTAAATTGAGTTCCAATTCTCCCAATTTAAGTACATACATGACACTATATGTGTATGCTGTAGTATGTTTGAGTTACCGCTTTGTATGTAAATTGAAGTATCGTTTCAAATATAGAAGGAATTTAATAAAAGTTAAAATTTATTAATAAAAGTTAAAGTTATCTACATGCCTATATTCTTTAAAAATTAATTTTTAAATAATTGGCCAAAGTATTTAAAATCTTTCGCATAGTATTTTACTAAATGTGTACTTTATATTTAGAATAG